ACCTCCCGGGACAACCAGCCGGCAGTGGAGATTCAGGTGTTCGAAGGCGAACGCGCCATGACCAAGGACAACCGCCTCCTTGGCAAGTTCGAGCTTCGCGTCCCCCCAGCGCCGCGTGGACAACCTCAGATCGAAGTGACCTTCGAGATCGACAGCGATGGTATCCTCAACGTCGCTGCCGAGGATAAGGGCACCGGCCGCAGGGATCAGATCACGATCCAGAACCAGAACCGACCGACGGAGGAAGAGATCCAGAAGATGGTCAAGGACGCCAAGGCCTTCGAGCACGAGGACCGCCGCCAGAGTGCTCTAGGACTCTAAGACTCTGGGACTCTAGTCACTAGTCTAGATGTAGTACGTATACGTGTCCGTCCCCTCCAAGGGTCCTTTCGCGCCTTGAGGACCGGCAGATGAGGGAGCGCGTCGATGCTAGGCTGGGTTTGGAAGGCTACCTGCATGGACTCCACAGCATGGCCACGGAGGGCAGCTCGCGCTTGATGAGCTCAGAAGAGCAGAGCATCTTGGATGCTTTCCGGGCTGGCCAAGATTGGTTGGACGCCAACCCAGCAGCAACTACGGAGGAGATACAGATGAAGCAGAAGGAGATCGAAGATCTTTGCTCTCCCATCGTCTCTAGATACTATGGGGCGGACACTTCAGGTAGCCCAGGTGAGGAGGACGAAGCCCATGACGAGCTGTAGAGTCTTGTGAAATCTCTAGAACTCTAGAAGTGTATTTTGGCGGGCCGCAAGGACATCGAGTCACAGCGTCGATGTTGACAGTTTTGTCGTCGAATTTCGTTTTGTACAGGAATCCGAATCCTCGACTTTCAACTTCTGCGGCTGCAGCCCACAAGTACCCCGGGCATGGCCCACAGAACTTCCCCAGCCTCTGCTAGCTGGAAAAAGCCAAAAAGAGCCCTTCGGCAGCGTCTGCAGGGGTCCGACTTGGCAAGCAATGCTATGGATTCTCTGTTTAGGTTTTTGCAGGGCGTGGTTGACACGAGCCGTGACGAGCATGAAAGCGGCAAATGACTTCAGAGTGCATCAAGACATGCGGATTGGCCCGAATTGCATTTGTTCACGTCTTGCCCTCAAGTTCCAAGGGAAATGACGAAAGAAAGAGTTGGACATTAACTGGCTACTGCCCACCACCAGACAAGGCTCAATCTGCAGAGCCTCGCGGTTAGGATCACAGCAAACGGAGGCCTCATCAATCTGGTGGAGTCGCGAGCACAAGTCTTACAGTCTTACAGGAATTCGTGCATGTAATTCAATGGCGGCTGCGATGGCACATCCCGGGAGAGCCCTTCCGGATCCAACACAGCTGCGTGGATGGATCGGTCTCAAGCCCGGCTCGAATTCGCTGCTCTGATGACGCTCCTTTCGTGCCGCTTTCGCCCAGGCCGTCCCGGCCCCGGTGCCGGGCTGTGATGGCCGTCACGATGGCATGCCGAGGCCCCAGAAAACCGGGGGGGGGGGGGGGG